ACATACACAGGCACCAATCTTGCAGAGACGACTCTAAATATTTTTAAGCACACAACTGAGCTTTGAAAGCATTCTCAGTCCAGTGCTTTCATTCCTCTCCATCAAAAGACCGTTCGGCCTTAGCGTGAGTCCTTCAAAGTCCTTTTAAAATCATCATCATCATCATTCATCTGCACATCTCTAGGTTCTCCCTTTGCCCCAACTGATGTTTCACAGATGCGAACGCGGCCCGTATTCGTGTGTTCACCAAGTATAGACAACCATAAACCACCCTAATGTGTCCTGTGAATTCAGCCCATTTAGCTCCTTTATTGCAAATACGGCGGTGCAACACCCACTAAACAACTTGGCGGACCTGTCCATGCTGACAGGTCCCCTTCAGCCAGTCCTTTACCTTCACCTCCTAGTTTGGGTTAACTGTGAACACTGGGCTGACATTGGGCTTCAGGGACCCCCTAATCCAGGACACGCCCATTTTAGGGGCTTCCACTCACTGTACACCTCTCCTTCTACCAAACTCCTCCTTCCCACTCTTTCCCTTATCTTCCTTCCCAACTCGAGGCGCAGTTCCTGGGCTTCCCTTTTCCCTCCTTCCTTCCTTCCCCCCTCAAGGCTCAGGGAAACAGGCCTCTGCTTCAGCTCCTTCCCTTCTCCCCCCCCCCCCCCCCCCCCCCTGGCGGCCTCCCCCCTCCCCCCCCCCCCCCCACACCCACTCCCACTGCAACCCGTTCAGTTTCCGAGCGCCTTCCAAGCTGGGCCTGCCATAGCCAAGCAGGGCCCCTTCCCCTCCCTTACTAGGCCGAGCCCGGGCCGGACTGATCTCCAGGTTGAGGTCGATGCGCCGGCGGGCTTCCCGGTTCTCCTGTTTCAGCTTGGCCTCCAAGCGGGACAGCTTCTGCTCCAACGAGGACGCTGCCATCTTTCCCCCCCCTCCCCCGGAGCCGCCGCCGCCGCCGCCGCCGCGCAGCCAGAATGCACAAACACCGCAACGCGCAGGCGCGGTGTGAACCAACCAGGCCACCGTAACTCCATCCTCCTTCCTCCTCCGGCCCCGGTTTGCCCTACGCTTATCTTGCCTCGGAGGATGGACTCGCGCGCATGCGCAAGGCTGAAACCGGTTTCCTTTTCCCTGTGCCGGTCCCGGCACCTGCGGGGAGTCTAGAAAGGCGTCTGGCGGGTGGTGAAGTCGGTTAACGTTTGGTGAGACTGCCGAGATATCCTGCCGAGAGGTTGATCGAAGCGCCCATCTGTCCTCGGGTTTCTTATCGCGGCCATCCGAAATTTTAATCTAATTTTAATCTAATCTACTGTTGACCTCACCCCATTCCTAAGAGGCGTGCATAAGAGCACCAGCGTGTCTTCCGTCCCTGTCCTAATGTTTCCTCTGTTTGTATCTATTTTATGTATTCAATTCATGCTTATACCTATATATATTACCTAATATGTTCTTGACAAATAAATAAAATAAAATTGTGGCTCGCTTATCAACTTGTAGGTTGTGGCTCACTTATTAACTAGTTAGTGGGGTTTGCTGTAATTATGGGGCTTGTTATGTCCAGGGACGTCTTAAAGTTAATATGACAAGGAAAGGTTATTAAACACAGGAGTAGAGAATAATTATAAATATATTTAAATTAAATTTAAAAGTCAAGCCAAAATGCATCATATGCGTGTCATATATCGCTCTAACACCTTAAGATCCTGTTGCATATTTAAAGATTTTCCTCGTTGGATTAGCAATTGTACCTAAGAAAATCATCTCCCAAACCTTGATCCCTTTAGTGCTAAAAAATAACTCAGAATAGTCACTATTTCTGAGCGTATAGGCAGGATGTAAAGGAAGGGATAAATCAAAGAGCTTAGTATAACTATGCATCAATCATTCCAAACTGAAATTGAACTGATTTATGTACTCGTAATCTGCTAATGAAAAGCATCCATGAGTTGCATTATAGAGATGTAAGAGACCATTAGATATTTAATGATCCCTGACCATAGTTGGCTTGGGTGCTGCTTTCAATGAAGTCTTCCACATGTTCTAGCCAGACTTCTACAAAATAGCCAATCTACAATCTTTTTTATTTAAAAATTAGAGATGGCAGGCACAAAAAAACCTGTTTCAAGTGATAATAGCTGGATGTTTGGGAAAGCCTATTTATGGAAACTATAGTCTACTAAATCTGGAAGAAAGTAGTTTGGAAGAAATTGTTACTCTTAAATTGGCAAGAACGATCAACACCAAAGATTCATCCTGAATACTAATGTTCATTCAACAGCTCTGGAAGTTTACTTAAGGATACCCATGTGACTTTTAAAGAATCAATTTTGTTTTAGTATCTAACTGGATGACTACATGGGGAAGGTATAGTGATAGATTCTTGCACTGAGCAGGAGATTGGATCAAATTATCTTAATGGTCCTTGTCAACTTTTATATTCTATTATTCTACAGCATGCTATTCTGTCTCCTTTAATCCATTAACAAGAATTTGCAGGACCACTGTAAACAGAAAGCAATTAGAAATATAGCTGCTTAAGGGAGCTAGGATTCTCTTTGGAGAATACCCCATTACATGAATGCAAATGGCACCAAATTAGGGCATCCAGACATCAATTTAAATATTTGCTATGTTCTCCTGCTTGGAGAATTTCTTGATTTCCAGATTCCATTCTGGGTCGAAATCCTGAAGCACATTTCTTCCAATTCCTTAGATGGCTATGATGGAAAGGAACGCTTTATTTGAAATAACAAAGGACTACTTAGTTGGACAAACCTGGAGCAAATTGCTTCAAGCCTATCAGAACCACCTATGTGAACATATTTTCTCCACCTCTTGCCCCATTTACAGAAACTGAAAAAGGTGCATGTTTTCTCATGAACTAGCCAGCACCATCATCTGGCCTTAAGGGGAGGTCTAAAGTGGAAGTGCACGAAAACAGTTACGATGCAGCAAATAGGGCCACAGATTTACTGTAATGAAATTTTGGCAGAAACTTGGATTGGCCCATTTTAGGAACTCATAACTGCTAACAACCAGGAGACTGGAAAAAACCATAACAATACAAGAACTGGAAAAGGACATGTTTACAGTAATGCAGACTAAAGAGATACTGCTTAATTATGACCAGTATTTAGATTCAGCACCTGCCAGCTACTTTGGGGGAGGTGGGAGTGCCTTCAACTCAGTATTTACTGTGGGAGACTGCAATTAGCTCATCAGAAAGTATTCAGGAGGGGATGCAAAGTAGGACCAAAACCATAAGCTGCCCATGGGCTTTTCCATTCCTGGCATATGGCTTCTGATTTCAAATGGCTTCAACTATGATCTTTATAATATACTGATGATGTCACTTAGTTCAAGTAATGAAACGTCTGAAAGTAAACAACCAAACTCAAAGAACACCAAGGACCTCTCCTGTCAAACCTGAGCTACAAATATTCTCCTTTATACATCTTTGTAATAATTAAACAGAGAACTGTCGGAACTGAAGAAGCTTCTTGGATGAGAAGCAAAACCTCTTCAAAGAAAAATAAAAGAAAGCCCAACTGCCTCTTGCAAAAGCACCTTTGGGACAATTAAAAGAGATATACATACTGGCCGATCCCAAACCAGACAGGGAGCAATATTTCTGTTTCCAAAACTAACAAGAAAGGGCTGCTGAAATGGTGGCGGCAGGAGGAGCAGATTCTAGCCTTTGCCCAGAGTGTGACTCCACTGGACAGAGCCTTGCCCAGGTTTTGACTGCACTGGAAGGAAAGCCCCACAAAGGGGGCCAGGTTTGAGAGCAATGGCCTGGGGCTAAGGTAGGAGTGAGGTACACGGCATGCCACATCTTTATTTATTTATTTATTTATATGCCGCCCTTCTCCGGAGACTCAGGGCGGCTTACAATGTGCTAAGCAATAGCCTTCATCCTTTTGTATATTAATACAAAGTCAGCTTATTGCCCCCACAACTGGGTCCTCAATTTACCTACCTTAGAAAGGATGGAAGGCTGAGTCAACCTTGAGCCTGGCCAGATTTGAACCTGCAGTAATTGCAGGCAGCTGGTCTTAATAACAGGGTGCTTTAAACCACTGTACTACCAAGGCTCCTCTTGCAACAGGGCTCCTCCACTGAGCCAGTGGCTACACTACTCCTAGCTACTCTGCACATAAGAGCCACCACCCCATGCCCAGCTCCAACATTCATGGCAGCCTCAACCAGTACTGTGCAACCATCCCTAGAGCCTAAGTAGCCAAAGAGAAATGACCAAAAAGTTGCAGCTTTGCAGGAACTTTTAAAAATTGAATAAATGTATGTAAAATGGCACGCAATGATCCTTTTTTTTTTCCTCCTTCCCTTTTGACTGATAACATTCTATCAGTGCACAAAAAGACTTCAGGGTTGTGGACCTTACAATGCTCTGAGATTGCTGCTTCCTTGTGTTTTGCTCAAATACATCCAGGGAAGGTGAAGGAAAAGGAGAATCCATCTGGATTCTCTGAATGATGAGCTTTGAGCTATTACTTTTAGGAACTGGCAGTCTTCCACCTCCTCCATGTCCTGCTCAGTTTGCACTAAAACTTTTGTAGCATTATCTTAGTTTCTGCAGCTATCTTCCATTATTTTCAACTTTTGAGTAGAGTGAAACTCATTTTTAAAAATAGCATTGCATCTGTTTTGAGCACCTTTTCCCTGCCATGACATCCCATCTACAGTATTAAAATCAACCTTTTTGAAGTCCAAGATGTATCTTAACTAAACTTCTTATTACTTAGGATGAGGCCAAGGATAGCTGATCATGTGCCTTCCTCTGCCCTCCCTCCCAAATATTGTCAGCAACACAAATTTCCTACTTTTGGTATATATTAATTATCTCTCAATAAGCATTGCGGTGAAACAAACACATTCATAACTGTAGAAACACACAGTTTCTACAAACCTTAGAGTCTTTTCAGCAAGTGATATATAGCCCTTCCCAACAAGGCACAGACAAGGAAGCAAGAATTACACAGACTTCTATAAAGTGTGTTTAATGTTAGGATTGAAGGTAAATAGAAGAATCTTGGAAACAGCATCAAATTCCCTGTCTTCTTGCATTAGTGGTTGATTAAGATTTGTGTCTCTTTGAACCATCAATTTCTTCTTCCTAGGCTTTTTGCAGCCTGGGCTGAGCTGCTGTTTATTACCAAATTCTTTCTTATCTCTTGATGCTTTATATCCAATGTTCCTTCCATGACTTTCCCACTTCCCATAATCTCTCATAGTAATCATGTAATGAAAAATAAAACCAGTTCCTATGGTAAGAGTTATTCATTTAAATTCCTCTGACATATATTTATCACTTTTTCTTCATTTTACCGACAAATCTCTAATGCTTAAAAGGAAAGGGAAAAAATGCTTTTCCAATATTGGTTTTTTTAGTCAGAGAATTTGACCTTTTGTTGTAGTCTATCCAATTTCCATAACAGTATTAGTTGCAATGAAGTGTGCTCTAGATTTTGTTCAGTGTGTTTCTGCTCACTTATTGCCTATGGAGGAGCAGGATTGGCATTCCTCTACTTCCTCTTCTTCCATTTCCTCTGTTTTCAATTTATAGAGGATGCTCCCTTTTATGTTTGTAAAATAAGAAGTAAAATATATTTTCTTTTTTTTTAAGCTGGGGGACTTGGCAATAAGATAACAACAGTCAGACCAGGTCTTTCATTTTATACTCAAAGCCCACTACACTCAAATTATGACCTGGTTGTTTTATCTACTTATCAATTCCTAAACTTATTTTCCCTTAGGATAAATGATTCATTCTAGGCATATTATCATGTGACTTGCTTCCAATATAACTTTCTTTTCTTGCATAACTTTTAGCAAGGAGTAAAATAGAATTGCATTAGCCCTAAATTAATCTGGGCTATTTTCAAAGGGCATTTCTTGTTTATTATATGCAATTTTCAAAGATTTTCTTCTGTTTGGATAAGTGGATCACACCTGAATTTTTATGGCACCTAAAACAGAAACACTCAGCTTCTGGTCTTTTTAATCAATAAAATAATTTGTTAAGGATTTGCTAGAATGGTTATTCACTTACTTACAAGAATATCTGTTTTATTTTGATGATAGGGAAAGATAATGGGAACCAGCCTTATCATTAGTTCCCAATTTACCACTGGGGACTACATCTAGCATGTCATTCTTGTGCATGGCTGATAAGAAATTAGCAAGCCGCCATGAATAGAGTTGATTACATTGGTCAGCCATGTGTAGCAAAAAAGCAAAATCATTCTGTCCATCTGGGATATCAAAGACACGACAGTCTTCATGTGCTTGCTTAAAAGAATATTTCTGCAGTGGTTGCCACAAAAGCCAAAAGAATGAATAAACCCCCACAATTCCATACAGGAATACTAAAAAAATATAAGTAGCTATCAATTTCTGTAGAATGAAAGCCATGCTATGGGTACAGGTGAATGTAGAGTAGCCAATGACGTTTTGTATGTCTGCCAGGCAAAGATGCTTGAAGGAGATAGATCCTACACAGTTGAAGGTATAACTTAGCACAGTTAGAACCTTTGCAGTTTTGAAGATGGTTTGTCCCAAATAGATTCTATAAATCATCCTACCACCTTCAGTGTGTGCCCTGAATCTACGGATCTTCTCAAAAAGGGCCTTGCCAAGTTCCCGATCCTTTGAATCTAGGATGGGAGAAGGGGAAGGAGACTTGAGTCGTCCTAGATACCCCATATTAACAGTGCGCACACCTAGGAAGTGCGGGCAACCTATTTCAGAGAGAGCCTTGGTGGTCCAAGGTGACTCAAAACATTTCAACAGAATGGACAAGAAGTGTTCAATCTTTGATGAAGTCTTAGGATATCGGAGCCAGAAGTTGTTGCTTGCCATTAAGAACAGTGAATTGACAAGTGCGAAGTAAGGGAAATACTTCAAGAACCAGGGCAAAACTTTCTGATAACAGACATAGCTGATGTATAGATACTGTTGGTAGTCCAGATTGATTGAGCGATGACTGTTTGCCACAGGAAGCTCTTCACTGATGGTTTTATCCACAGCTTGAGGCTTGGGTACAACTGCTGAAGTCTCATTTGGCTTATTATTCAGAGGAAGGCAAGTCATGTTATCAACAGAGATTAATAGAGTCCCTGAGAGAAGAGAAATCATCAGCATTGCTAGTCCCAAATAGTCCATCAGAACATCCCACCAAGGCTTTAAAGACTGGAACTGGGCAAGGCTGTCGTTGAAGAAAGTAACTTCTGACAGGGTAAACATCACTAGAAAAAAAATAATTATTAGGAATATGAGTAAGTTGTTTGGCTTTTGCACTAAAATGGGTGTCAAACTGGTGGCCCATGAGCCGGATGCATCACACGCAGGCCATGCCCACCCCAGCTCCGCGAAGGGGAAAACATCACAAAACATCATGTGACAGCAACGTGACGCCACGAGTTTGACACCGGTGCACTAAAACAAGCGAAGATTTTAGAGCATTTGTTGTCCTAACTTCAGTTTATATATGTGTCTGCGTCTGTGTGTCTGTCATCTATCTATCCATCCATCCATCCATCCATCCATCCATCCATCCATCCATCCATCCCCACCCACCCACCTATTCATCCATCCATCCATCCATCTATCTCCCTAGGAGTAAGTCTCACTGACTGAGCTTACGCATTGTGTCCACTATGGTATTTTGACTTTTGCCAATTACATTGTGCAGATGTGGTTTATTTACTGAAAAATGGTTGAACAAACAATGGTTTAGTAGAAATGCAAATTAGGCTACAAAAAAATTGAATTGAAATACATTGTCCCATCTGCTGTAGAGAGAATTATAGGTAATCCTCCACTTACGACTATAATTAGGATCATAATTTTGGTTATAAGTCGTGACAGTTGTAAATTGAGGCACCCACATGCTCAGACTTAATTTTATGGCAGTCATGAAGCATATCATATGATCATAACTCTGAATCACAAATCACTGAACAAATCAAATGGTCATAAGGGTGAACCCATTCTCCTAAAACCTAATTGAATGGGGGTTTTTTGCTGGAAACCAGCAAAAAACATTTCAAATCACAGTCACAGGACTGCAGGACACTGTGGCCAGTCATAAATGTGAACTGTTTGCCAAACACCCGAAATACTGTCATGTTACCATGGGGAAGGTGAGCAACATGAAATTTTACAACAACCAGAAATGTTTTATGGGCTGTAAAGCATCCTTTCCAAGGCTTCTGTAACTCTGAATGGCCGTTAAATGGCTAATTGTAAATCGAGAAATACCTGTAGTATAATAATCAACCTATATTAGTAGAGAAACAAAAGATCAAATATATTTCAAATGCTTGTCTTTTACTGAATGTAAAGTATTAATAAATAAATAAATACAATAAAAAATACTGTTGCAGGTCTCCTGAGCAGATGACACTGTTTGCTGTTTTTCCCAAGTAAGCCTTGGGGGAAAAAAACTTACAGTATTAACTCAAGTGGGAAGTTTCTTACAGTTTGGGTCATTTTATTACCGTTATGTTTTATAAATAGCCTTAAGACCAATGACAACTGCTAGTCTAATAACTTTTTAGACAAAGTATGTAATTCACTAGCTGAGTTGGTCTTTATTTTAGAGTGTTATACAGCCTGATTCACTGGAGAAGAGCCTAATGCTGGGAAAGATTGAGGGCAAAAGAAAAAGGGGATGACCTGGAATGAGGTGGCTGGATGGAGTCACTGAAGCAGTCGGCGTGAGCTTAAATGGGCTCCAGAGGATGGTAGAGGACAGGAAGGCCTGGAGGAATGTTGTCCATGGGGTCGCGATGGGTTGGACATGACTTCGCAACTAACAACAACCACAAAGCCTGATTGATGTGATTTGTAAACCATAGTTTATAGTTCAGTGTGCCATGTGGCAAAACAAATACCTCCCACCTTACTGTTTGCCCACATTATCTACCACGGACCACAAGCCCATTGAATCTCCCTTCCCTCTCTTATTCTTTCACTTCCTGTGTCTAGCATCAGCTCCTCACCTGCAGGAAGCCGATCCTTTCTGCAGACAATCTTCTCTTCCTTTTTTTCTATCCAGAAGGGTGCCCGTTCCCAAATCTTCTCTCCTTTATCTGTGATTGCCTACGATTTCTCAGGGCAACCCTCAGCAGCACAAGAGGCTTTATTTCATCTCCATGGCAGCTGAATGCAGGAGGAAAGGACTGGAAGAGGGGGAAGAACAAAGCTAGTGTGACCTAGCCAGGAGGACTCATTCACTTTCAGCATGATTGCCCTCTCTTGAAATGCAAACAGCAAAACACGAAGGAGGAAAAGAAAAAAAGCTAGCAGAAATCACTAAACATATTAAATCACAGAACTATTAAGAGAACTTATTTTTTTTTAAAAAAATATGTATTCTTCCAACAACACCTAATAAGGCCAGCTGGCGCCTACACACAGTTTAATAGTGGTGCCCCACTATTAAAATTACAGAGGCAAAACTCTCACACCAGGAGATGGAAACAAGCGGGATATCTGACATCTTTAATCCAAACTTTTAAACTTCACCCTGCCAAAGAAAACTTGTTTTTAACAATGCGGATTAAAGTGGATAAGGACAATTGCCAAAGGGAAAAACATGGACTAAAGTTGAATACAGGTAGTCCTCAACTTACAACCACAATTGAGCCCAAAATTTATGTTAAGTGAGAAATTTATTAAGTGAATTTTGCCTCATTTTACGTCTTTTTTTGCCGCATTTGTTAAGCGAATTGCTGCGGTTGTTAAATTACTAACAGTTGTTAAAGTGAATCTGGTTTCCCCACTGACTTTGCTTATCAGAAGGTTGCAAAAGGAGATCGCATGAGTCCGGGACACTGCAACCATCATAAATGTGAGTCAGCTGTCAAGCAGCCGAATGTAAATCACATGACCATGGGGGAGGGGCGGTGCTGCAACAGTCCTAAGTGTGAAAAATGGTCATAAGTCCCTTTTTTCAGTGCTGTTGTAACTTCGGTGACTAAACAAACATTTGTAAATCGAAGACACCCTGTATGGCAGTGAAAGAGATAAAATGATAGGTGTGTATGTGTGGGGAGGACTCTATGGTGTCCCCTTCCCTGGGTGCCTTAAGCTGGTGCCTACTCAGAAATTTAAGGAAGCATAGGTCGCTCTTCCATATTTTGATTCTCATGACAATGTTGGGTAGAAACATACTGGAATTGTGCTTAGGTTTTGAAGGAAGCATCCACAAAGTGTTCTTGGTTGCTGGTCTAGACTCTAGCCATTTGCCCTGAAGTTTCAGGTTTCCCATCTAAATATTAGCTAAGGGGCCTTAGAGTCAGAGCTCCAAGGGCAGCTCACTGCTGCCACCTGCAGGGGCAATAATTAGCTTGATCTGGGAGGTCTGTAGAGATTTTCAGTCATCTAGGTTATGGTTGTCCCAAAGGTGCTTTTTCAGGAGGCAACTGGACTTTCTTGTTTTTTTTTTCTTTTGAAGACATTTTGCTTCTCATCTAAGAAGCTTCTTCAGTTATGACAGGATAGTGGGGAACGATCTGGGAGGCTGCTAAAAATATCTGGAAATTGCCCAAGGAGCTTTAAAGAAGAGTGTCTCTTCTGTTTAATATATATAATGCAAGCAATCTGGAATGCAAGCAAGAAAAAGTAGCAACTAATGCTTTTTCTCCTGTGTCGCACACCTCCCTGGGTAATCTGTCTGGAAAAACTAGATGGCTATCCATAAAAAAAGTGCAATACCCACAACCATCTTGGTTTGCTTGCACATCCTCTATCTTTTGATTTGTGCAGCACAGAAGGCTGTCTATAAAGCAATTGCCTCCTAGCCAGTTTTAAAATGATGTGTGCTTAGAGCCCTGTGCTTTTGTTTAGAAATGTGCCCAACTAATTAGGAAAAACAATCACTCAAAAGATAAAGTTGATAATAATAGAAATAATTAGAGGGAATGAAGATTTGGGGAACCATTTTATCACCTTGTCTCTTAGTGCATGTTTTATGGCTGGTTCTGGCATCTGTTTGCAAACAGGCAACACCTTCTCAAGGAGGCCATTTTATGACAAAGCCTATAACATGCTCTTAAAAATACATGGGCAGCCACAGCTCAAATATTTTACTCCCAGGCTTGTAGCTAGGGGTGGGTGTATAGACTAGTTCCCAATTTTTTCTGCTGACTTAATTTCACTTTGTCCTAAAAAGATGAGATAAATGTACTTTACATTTTTAGGCTTTCTGCAGGCTTAAACATACCCATTCTAAATTATTTAACACTAGGACTCTAATATTTTGGCATCAAAGGCAAAAAAATGTTGGGGAAGAAAGCATAAAAAGTTACACATACAGGTAGTCTTTGTTTATACATTCCCATTTGGCAATTATGCAATTTCTCCAAAACAGATGTGTCCGTTCCTAACATTGTGCAGCTGTAGTAGATGATACCTATAGTATAATTCCAGGAAGACAGGTTGAGTTTGAGTTAGGGTCTTGCTAGTACTCCTGATGTCTACTAGATAGCAGCAAAGAGCCTCTCCTCTCAATTAGGTTCTGTTGAAAATGAGTGGCTATAATCTCCATCTAGGCTACCATTAATAACAACTCCATCTCATTCTTCCACAACACTCGAATGAACAGCATGCTTAAATGTAGTGTAATGAATTTGAGATATTTTGTACTCTGTTTTAATATTCGTAAGAGGAGGGAGATTTAGTTCATGGAAATATGCACATTTTCCTTGTTTTGTAATAAGAGTACAACAGGCTAAAAGTCTCCTGTTCATTCTGCTAAGTGAGGCCTTCAATTTCTGTTCCAATCTGCTGATGTGCTGATTGACAGCATCTTAAAAGATAAAGATTTCTTACAATAAAGCTCAATTTCAGATGACTTCAGGGACACATATATGGACCTTTCTTGGCAACAATACAGAAATGGCATGCTATTCGCTTTTTGGAATTTTTTTCAACTTTTCTAGCTCTGACAATTCACATCACCACATCTGTCTATTCTTTCAGACTTGCAACCATATTAAGAGAAAACCTCATTTATTGATTTGCTTAGCATACAATTAATACATTAAAAATACAAGTAGAAAAATAGGGACCACGTTTGGTGGGAAGGTAAGTGTTCCGTGCACCTTTGGCGTTTAGTTATGCTGGCCACATGACCACGGAGACGTCTTCAGACAGCGTTGGCTCTCCGGCTTTAAAATGGAGATGAGTCCATTTTAGAGTCGGGAACGACTAGCACATATGTGCAAGGGGAACCTTTACCTTTTTTTTCTCTATGCAATACAAGAACAAATCACTTCAAACACACAGCTCTATGCACCTAGCACATACCAATAGACAAGGTTGCTTGTCATTGGAAAGCTATGAAAAAAATTCCGGGAAGGTTGACTTTTTATACAAAGGCAGTCTGTTTCTTGACTGGGTTTTCAAGATATAATATGCTGCATTTCTTTTCCAAAGATAGCTCACAACAAATTGGTAACATGCAGAATTAAGCTTCATCTGTGCATAATTTCCAGTGAGGTCTAACTAATTAGTCATCTGCCTTACCTTTAAAAAAATCATGGTTAGGATATTATGAACCTTCACATTTTATCTTAGATAAAGGAGACAAATTAGGTTTTTTTCCCCCTGGCGTTTCTTAATTAACATCAACCGCTAGGTGGCAACAAGATGTAACAGAAAACATAATTAGTAATGATGAAACGTTAGAGATCTTTTAGGAAGAGAAAAAGTGGATTAAGTGGCTCTGATAGAAGGTAAAAGCATATGCAGGTCTTTCATGGTGTTTCCAATCTATAATGACATCTGATTCTTGAAGTCTGTAAGAAATGTATGGTAAAATGCCTTTGAATCAAGTTTGGCTCCCGGTGATTTTCATCATCTGGTCTAGGCAATTTTCCTGCTGTGATAAGGAAGTGTTTTGCCACTGCCTCATTCTACTTTTCCTCTGAAAGTCAAGGTAATGTCGTGGTTACAGTTTTGGGGTTCCGCCCAGCCTCCTTCACCACAACTTATGGATGGCCCATATCAATCCACTTATCCAGATGCCCCCTCTGTATTCAGCTAAGATACTGAGACAGTCTAAGGGCTGCGTTCTGAAAGCGGCTGGTATTTCTCTTAATATCCTGCCTCAAAGACATCATGTCCAATCCCAAGACATCATGTATAGTCAATGTAGGGATCACTGATGTACATCGAGGAAGCAACCTGCTTTCTTTTGGAAGCCTTATCATTTCAATTAGATCTGTCCAGTTTCCTGCGAGACCACTCCCTTCAAGTCTGGTTCCTGTACTCTTTGCCTCCCTTCAAATCCTCGAACGGCTACCAGGGAGATCAGAATTCCAGCTACCACAGCCACTTTTCATGCCTTAAAGTGGTTGGCAAACTCACCTAGAATGTGAAGCCTTAAAATTGAATAGCCCTTCCTGACTTAACACATGTAATTCAAAATGTAACTGAAAGGTCTCTACTCTTGTAATTCTTCAGCCTGTCTGATTGGGAATTCTCTTCCCAACGGCCAAGGTAGACCTTCCTTACTGACCACTTGTTCAGCAACTGTTCAGAGTTATGAGGGTGCTGAAAAATGAGACAATAGTCACAAACATGCAGCTGTCACAATGTCCCAAGATGATGTGATCATCATTTGCGACCTTCATAGCCAGATCCCAAGAAGCAAAATCAATGGGGAAGCTGGCAGGAATTTGCAAATTAAAGTCACATGACATCATGCTTAAAGACTCATGGTGATTTGCTTAATGACTGCAATGTGAATTGATCTCATAAGTTGGTGTAGTCACATGACATAACAACTTTATGGCTTAGTAATGGAGTTGCCAGTCACTATTGAGGTCCACCTGTATTGCTCCCAGAGAAATTCTGTTTTCTGTTTTCTCATGCTACCTTCTTAGGGTAGTTTACAATGTCAATTCTCAATCCTCTCTCAACTTCCAGCTGTCCAGTTATTCACTGGCTATATTTCAATTGTACATGTTCAGACAATCAGTAGGTGGCAGCTAAGACTTACAAAAGCTAACCCGTTGCAGCCACCTGGTGGTTGTAAAGTAAATTGGTCAACCTGCAGTTTCAAGGATTTGTTGTGATCTAGGCTTTCTGAGTCATTAAAACACACGAGTAGTCCCCAAACCCTCTTTTATTGCAACAGCCATGAATTATATTCATTCACAGCTGAGTCCCATTCACAGCTGAGTCCCAATTAGTTGCAAAAAGTCCTTCGGGAGAAGTCCTTCGAGATAATCACCAACCTTTATCTCCCTTGACATGCTGCCAAAGACCTACTTGGCAAAGCCACACGGAGTCCAGAATCAAAGAGAGATGTTGACTGGGAACAGAATTAACAACATTGCTTTCCAGCAAAGGGCCCACGTGCCTTTGCTTCTCTTTTAAGTCTTATGGGAGGGGCCAATCATCTCTAGGCCTTACTCCTGAGTCATCCCTTTTGTTTTAACTGTTCTTGCCTTCTGGCAGCTCTGCGCATGCACACACTAGGAACAGGCTCCTCCTGTTCCTTTGCCTCTCTGATGTCTGACTCTGGAGGTCCGGAGTCTGCACATAACTCCCAAATGGCCCTGGCTCCATCTCTGCCTCTGACAAAGAGCCCTCGTCCGAGCCTTCCCCAGACTCCAGGACTGGCCCATGTTCCTCCCCAGCCTCCTCACTGCCCAACTCTGCTGCCAGCTCCGCAGGCTGCTGGCAGACCACAACAGGATTTTAGAAAAATGACCATCTGTACAACAAGAAAGAAAGAATGTCCCAAAGGTGCATTTTTCAGGAGGCAACTGGACTTTCAGAAAGTCCAGTTTCTGATAGTCCAGTTGCCTCTTGAAAAAAGCACCTTTGGGACAACCATGACCTGGATGACTGAGAATCTCCATAGACAAGAAAGAAAGAAAAAGAAAAGCACGGAGTAACCAAAGCCATCATGTGTGCATTTATGCAGGAGCCCCTTAATGTGCTAAATGACATTGGATGGGGCTGGAAATTCAGTCCAGGGACTAAAAGTCATGGCTCTTTGAATGCTGTACATTAAAGCTGTATGGACAGCTGCATGAAGCACAGACTGGATCTATAATCTGGGTAGCCAGATTTAGGGTGGTGTGGCAGGAAGGGAGCACGAAAATGCAGCTGTGTGGATCTGACTTGGAATTAGATTAAGAAGAGCTAGGATTAAATTTCCATTCAGCCACATTATTCAGTGAATGACCTTAATTTGGATAGTTTTGTATACTGTACTAAATCATAGTATGATTTGCTTAATTTTGGGCTTATACGACATGAGTCAGTCAACCTCTTGCTGAGTGGATTGTTTTATGATGTGTCTATATTTTTTGCCATTTTTAGACAAGACCTGAACATTATTTCACAGTTTCTCCAAGGTTAAAAGATTGAGAAAAGTTGCTCAGTGTGATATAATATTTCACTGACACTTGAATAAGGTTTCTTTGGGCAATTACCAAGTAAATTTAATTCTTCCATTGTTTGTCCTACAGGTCTGGGTCATTAACAATGATTATTTAGAGGATAGCTACCATAAATGACATAACTATATATTTATGGTTTTCAATCTTTCCTTCATGGAAGTACATAATAATTCAGGATACTAGTTTATGAATGTTTCTAAATGCCTCTTGACTATTTTATTGGCAAAAATATAACTCTTGACACTGGTTGTAACTGCAAACAACATACATACATACATACATACATACATACATACATACATACATACATACACAGTGTTGGTACGTAGGGCTGGTGTCAAATCCAAAAATACAAGACAACATTAGGCTTAGAGTCCCTCAGGAATTAGACCTTTATACCAAATAGCTTCTATCACCAGCTATTTATTCTTTAAACTGGAGGTGAACCTGATACACCATGTATAGAATGCTAGTGGTTTACCATTAAATAAATTGCCTTATCAATCAACTAACCAGTTAAACTACTGGTAAATGTTGATCATTCATACTAAATGAAGATAAATAAATAATAATGATTGGGTCTTCACAGATCTTTTACAGTTATTTTTGAAATCTCTTTAAAGCTGTACGTTTCTCCTTTTGCACTGTTGTCTTTAACTGTTTTAGCACTGTTTTAACACATTATTACAAAATAATGAAAATCCCATCGGAGATGAGTGGCACTGATATCCATGACCTAGAAAAACTGGATTGTTTCCTCATGTAAGAGTCTTTTGAAGCCTTCCCAGCCATAACCTGATATTCCCACCAAAGCATTTGCTTGATGCTACTTCAATGGAATGACATTTGCTCCGATTAGAAGCAAAGCACTTCCCGGACAGCTTGTCAGAGGTACCATCAGGGCAGGAACTTAAGGCAAGGATCTAATGCTTTCTTCAAATAAATCAACAGAAAACTTTCAATTGTAGATTCCTGAAAACTTTGCATTTCAAGAAGTGATAGTTTATATCAATATACGTTTTCTATTTGAATGGGATATATTAATACTTCATGTTCCCTTACTGATTTATTACTTACTAATTACTAGATAACTTGTTTTTTATCTTATGACTGCAGCAACTTGTTCAAGAGTCTTCTTTGAAGGCCTTTGTCAAAAGTCTTTAAAACTGCATGACAACAATTATGATTTCCATTCTATAGGCAGAAGATAGTAGGATTAAAAATTAAGTTGTCCTTTAAGACTCCTGGAATTGGCAGACAATCACATTAATAAGATGTAAGAGTTACACTGTATATTTCCTATATTTGTCATCTGATAAGGAGGAAAAAATTAGGAGAATCGCCCCAATATTTCCCAGCACTTGCTATGCATGGGAGATACTTCCACTCTGCCAAGTACATGGACAACCTCCATGACAGAAACTGCACTGCAGAGATGCTCACATTGGCAGAATGCTGGATAGGATTTAGGCCAATCTGACATAGAAAAATTAGAAGTTACATCATATGATGAATCCTTATTGATCAAAGCAAATGCTTTGTGGTTTGGCTCTTCAACATTTCAGAACACAATTCTTCTTCTAACAAAGAACAGAATAAAGAGAACTAGGTTATTTTGATAATTATGCAAGATTCCTAGTCCCTGACTAATTCTCACCTATTGCAATAAATAGGCAAAACATCACCCAGAATCACTTTCGATAAAATTAGGCCATGTCTCCAAACATGGTAACAAGAAGCTGCAGCTTAAGAGTGGACAAACAAATCCACTTGAAGAAGAGTATCTAGCAAAGCTTCAGAGCAGTTCAAAAATATGTACATAAATAGACACAAAAAATTAAATACAATGATTCTTTGGTCTGGTACAGCCTTTTTCCTTATAAATTATTTATCCTATTTAACTGTTCTGAAAATTGGTGTTTTTCAGAAAAACAAAAACAAAACAAAAACAAAATGTCACTTTCTTTTTTCTACCCCTCTTTGTGGGGCTGAAGCAGTCAGTTCCTTCCTGATTTCATCCTGAGATACAGATTTGCTAGACTAAGTCTTATCACATCCATTCCATGGTGACATGGAAAAAAGTTGGGACTTACTGGGAGAGCATCTGGGATGAATAGAGCCAAACTCTTACATGTTCTGGTTCTATCCCTACACAGTCGGCACTTGAGAAATTACTCTGTCCTTACTACTGTTCACATCGGTCATTCGTCCTCCATTTTTACCCTTACTTCTAAAGGCAATGTCTCATAAAGATTGCTCTCCACCACCAGACCACTACGCTTGAGGAATTTGCACTGACCAATCTCCAAGGGTAGGGCTTCAAGCTGGTTCCCTTTCAGCTCTATCCTGGACAGCAAAGGAAGCCAGCTTATGCGATCTGAGATGCGCCGGAGTTTGTTGTGTTCGGCTTTGAGAACTTTGAGTTTCTTGCAGAAGTAAATTTCATTAGGCAACGTCTCCAAGCAATTGTGCGAAACAGCGAAATATTGAAGGCTTTGTAAAACTCCCATCCCAGAAGGGATGATCTGAATTTTATTGTAGGAAAGATCCAAATAATGTAGCCTAGTGCACATGAAGAGTTGTGAAGGGAGAGCTTCAATGTAATTATGGCTGAGGTCAAGTTGCTCCAAGGTCTTGAGTTTGCGGATATGTTCAGGGATGGTAAAAATCTGGTTGTGCCAAAGTTTGAGACATATCAACTTTCGGCAATGCTGGAAACTAATGACTTCTTCAATGGAAATCAACTTATTATTCTTCAAGTCCAACTCTTGCAAGTTCACAAGGCTAAAGATAGCATGGGGGATCCGTTCCAGGTTACAGTTTATTAGTTTTAGCTCCTGCACCGAGAAGAGCTTCTTGAGATTGTTGAGGGCTACCAACTTAGTCCCATCATTATGTATCCTGAGCTTTTGCAGGTGAGTGGCCAGATCAGCCACACTGGGTGGCAGTTTTGAGATGTTGCTGTGCAGTGTCAAAACCTTTAGGTTCTTTAGCTCACGTAAGCTTTCTAGAGTTCCTGTCCGGCCCATCTCCTGGTTGAAAAATCCTGAGATGTACAACTCTTCCAAACCTCTCAAGTTGTAGATCCACACAGGTATATCTTTTATGTCATCAAAATTTACCATCATCACCTTCAGCTGTTCACGGAAGAACTTAAGGGAGGTAAAGGACAGCTTAGCAGGACAGTTGATCAGCACTAGCTCTTGGAGATTGATCAGTTGAGTTACTGAGACCGGGAAAGTGACATCTTGGAGCAATTCCAGTTTTAGAGCTTCCAACTCAATCATCTCAAAAGTAGTGTCAGGCAACCCAGGCAACATGAAGAGATGGAGTTCTAGGCGCCCACTAGGGTTTGTCTGCAGTTTCTGCTGCAATTTATCATGTGTCCACTCATGATTGAGGTTGAGCTGTTTAAGTTTGAACTCACTGTCCTCAGAGAGGAATACAGCAAAGCGCTTGGAGTAAAGGGAATCATACTGGTCTATGAGATGGAGCATGAAAGCAAAATCATTTTTCACATCAGGGATGTCCTTAATGCCGGTATCCTCACGAGCAAAGCGAAATGAGTACTCTTTAAGTGGCCGGTGAAAAAGCCAATAAAGAGTATAGAGGCAGGTCATACCATACACACCAAGGAAACAGAGGTAGCACATAGCCAGCTTAAAGAAGAGACAGGCTTTGGTATGATTGCAACAGAAATGGTCATAACCTGTCATATCCTCCATTTTAACACTACAGGGCACTATGAATTTAATATTGTGAACCAGGACTGCATTGTAGACAATAATAACTAGAAATTTGCAAACTTTGAGAACAGTTTGGCGGATGTACATTGTGTAAAGAATGTCTCCTTTTTCGACATGGAGTCGGAATTTTTTCACCTTTTCAAACAAAGCCTTGGCTTCCTCGCCTTCCTTTTTGCCCAACATGCTGCTGGAAGGGGACTCTGCAACTTTCTTTGCTGTAACAGAGCCTCCTGTAGGAGAAAGTTCAATCAGTTCACTGGGAACATTACTTTTCCTGATCCGATTCACCTTTCCTGAGCTTGTATTCTCCTCTTCAGAAACTTCTGAGATGGTTCGAGTAGTCCAAGGTGAGTCAAAACATTTGCTCATAATGGAGATAAAATGTTCAATCTTGGAACTGGTACCAGGAAATTTGAACCAGAAAGAGGCACACACCATGAACATCAGTGTATGGATAATAACAAGATAAGGAAAGTACTTAGCATACCAATGAAGGGCTGTCTCATAGCACATCTGATTGATGTAGCTGTACTGTTGAAGATCTAGGTTGTTCCGTAATCCATTCATTTCCTGGCGGACAGAAGACTTGATTGGTTCAGAGTTATTGATTGTCTTCTTGGTGAAATCTTCACAAGTTAAATCAGTAAAAGCTGTACCACTGGGAACATGATTGGGAAGGCAGATGATTTTGTCATGTATCACCTGCCACAACATATAAGTGAGGAAAAGAAACATGATATATCAGAGTCCATATAATACAACAGTTTACATCACATAATAATGATCTGGTAGATTCCCAGAGGAGTTATATAAATATATAACAAAGAGAAAAATATCACAACAGAGAATAAGCTAGTCTAGATCTTTAATGATGGGCATTTCCCCAAATGTTATTTGCTCTGAAACACTGTCAACAGTAATTATTCTATCCTTCTGGACATGTAGCCCAAATGTATTCTCAGATTTTCTATTTTTTTATCTCCCGGGATGGGATGAATCCTGCAGTAATCTGGGACTGGAATTCCCTGTGCAGCAAATGAGCATCCATAACTCTTTGGCCAGCATTTGTTAATTTATGCTAGCAGTATTTTAATAACCAATTGTGATGAATTCTAGAAACAAACTACTAGACCCCTTAATCCTTTATGGGGCTTCTTTCCAATGGACTTCTTAGTAGAATGTCAACTATGCAAGTTGAGTAGATATGTGATAGAGGCATACAGAAGTCCCTTCACTGTGTCTGTTGCATCACCCAATATACAATACTGTTTTTCTATATGCTTTTTTACTATACCAGCTCTCACGTTTTCTATAGTGCTGAATTGTTCAGTATATCCAACTTACACCATATCTGATTTTCATACATGTGACACATTTGTCAGTAAGGTATTGACTGATTGCGTGCCATTAAGTTGGGGTTAACTCTTAACCATATTGATAGACCAGCTCCACAGTGCACCCAAATGCCACTGTAACTGAATCCATTCCTGTTACTGCCAGTGGTACTTTTTCTCTTTTCTTTCGCCTTCCTCACCATTATTGTATAGACTTCTCAAAGAGAATTAAGTCTTTTCATAATGTGCCCAAAACTATAATTTCAGCCTGGATGTTTTAAGTTTTGAGTGAGAACTTTGGATTCATTTGTTCTTTAAGCTATTTGTTTGTTTTGATCAAGATCATGAGGGGAAGGGAGAGGAATCAGATATGTTTGACTCATTTGTTATATGTAAATAATTCATGAGAGTGTGTATGCCTATGCATGTAGGCTTCTAATCCTGTTGCAATATAAGAAGTCACTGGGGAAGAAAAGATTGCCCAACATGTTTCTATATGATTTCTAATCACCCTAGGCTGAAAAAAAATCACCCTTTCTCAGGATCAAATCATAAACCCATCCCAGTATATGTAATCAACTTCCAAAGCCCTTTCTGTCATAAGTATCCTGTTCTGCAATTTCAGTCAGTGACTCCATAATCTTGTTCTGGAATTATATAGTCTGCTTCCATACCGGAGGTGGTATTCAGCAGGTTCTGGCCAGTTCTGGAGAACTGGTAGCAGAAATTTTGAGTAGTTCAAAGAACTGGTAAATACCACCTGACTGACCCTGCCCCCATCTATTCTCTGCCTCCCGAGTCCCAGCTGATCGGGAGGGAATGGGGATTTTGCAGTATCCTTTCCCTGGAGTGGGGAGGGAATGGAGATTTTACAGTATCCTTCCCCTGCTACACCCACCAAGCCACACTCACCAAGCCATGCCGACAGAACCAGCAGTAATTTTTTTTGAATCCCATTACTGTTCCCTACTCACTCACTTGCAGAGTGCAGCTGAAAACGCCTATCATCAGCATGACTATGGTGATGTACTCAGCTAACACATCCCACCAAGGCTTGAGAACTTTGAAAGCAGGCTGCTGGTCTGTGAAATGCTTGAATTCAGCCACCGGAATCATATTGCCTGCCATAAAAAAGACAAGAAGTTTATTCTAACATTCCATTTCAGGAATGTTTAGTTGAATCCGAAGTTAATTCAAGGCTCGATGCAGGAGCTGTAATCATCTCTTCTTGTACACCCGAGGCATGTCTGGAACATATAAATTATCTGTGGATTTAAAGTTGTTACTCAAGCCTACACAAAAAGGAAGCTGCTCTAAATCTTTTTCCTATCTGTTAATCTGGATATAAAAACAAGCCAATGTTTTTGGTCTCTCATTTGACACTTACCCGTTATTCCTACAAGCATTTATTTTATTAAAAGCCCTAATAAAAGTTTCAATACACATGATCCTCACATCTAGGAATGAGTAGTACAGCCTTCAGCAATCTGCTCTGTTAGGCCATTCTGACTGAGCTGAAGTTCAGCACTTTTGGAAGCCATGTTTGAAGATAGTGGCAGAATATGATCCAAAGCTTCAGAAGAGCAGGAAAGCCCTAGCTTTCAACTACCATTAGAGCGCAGTTCCTTATAGATATTTGCCAGTTTTAATTGATTTTATATTTTAACATATTTCAATGTATTTTATATAATAATTTTTTTTCCTGGTATATTTTAATGTTTTAAAATGCATTATATTTTAACTTTTTTAAATACGTTGAATGATCAAATACAAGAAACCAAATATTACTTATTTTTATTCCTAATTCTGAAGTTAACACTAAATGAAAAAACTCCTTGAGTGATGCTACAGCTAATCACATCTATGCTTGGTTAATACCTTGGTGAGCTGCTTTGGGACCTTGTATACATAGCCTCGAGTTCCATAGTGGAAAAAAGGCAAGATATAAATACATCATTTTTAAAAATTCAGCATTTCCTGTCAACCCTAAAAATCTCAGAATGGTAATTAAATTTCAGAAAATTCTCTTTGCCAGGCAATGTTCAAATGTTTTGTCGGGTTTGAGGATATGTCTGTACATCCAGGATCACATCTCAGGGGTGGAATTGTCAACCCATGAAGTACAAACCTTAGAAGATACTACTGTTGTTGTTCTGTTTAATACCCTACTTTTTACTCAGGAGCTTGAGGTAGTATATATAGTGTTTCCTCCTCCTCTTCCTTTTCCCCACAATCACCCAAGGAGTTTTCCACAATTAAGGAAGGATTTGAACCTGTCTCTCTACTCACCCAATTATGATAGTAGTCATTGTGAAAATGAAGTCAATTTCTAGTCATCAGCTGAAAATCTAGTGCTTGGATAGATTATTGCAGAAATGATTTTATTTCTTATAACCTATGGCAAGTTCTGTCATCGTCTTTCTCTTTAGCTTAAAATGGAAAGGCAATAAGACCAAGTTATATGGATATCTGGACAACAACAGCCCAAAAGAATTATACTTGTAACCTTTCAGCTACATTCTTGCCTATAGGGCAGTGGTGGCGAACCTTTTACTCACTGAGTACCAAACAGGTATGCGCTTTGCGTGCTTTGCACGCTTGCGTGCTATCCTCACTAATGCGTGGCTCCTCCGTGTGCTGTGCACACAACTGCACCATCTGCGCATGCACAGGGCTTTTGTGAGTAGCCCCATGCGCTGCTCATGCAACCACACCATCTGTGCATGCGCGTGGCTTTCGTGTGGCTCCCCCATGCGCTGCACACCCAATCGCACCATCTGCACATGCTCACGGTTTTCACATGCACAATGCACGTGGGTGAACGCTGCACACAAGTACTGTCGCACACATGCGCAAACAGGCACACATGCACAGGAGAGCTCTGAAGACCAGCTGGGTCCCCTGAATTGTGCGCATGTGCACCAGACGCCCCAATACCAGCTGGGGCACGCATACGTGCGCAGCTGCAGGTGAGTTGGGCAACAGCTCACGTGCCCAGAAAGATGGCTCTGCATGCCACCTCGGGCACGTGTGCCATAGGTTCGCCATCATAGCTATAGGGTATCTTCTGTCAATATAGAATGGGGTGTTTTTTTCAGATTCCAGTTGCTATAGTAACTATGTTCCCATTACACTGGCCTGGTAAGAGATGTCCCAAACAATATGTATGCAACAGGTTACCCAGGAATATGAGACTTAATATCAGCATGGGGTCATGCTCATGTGCATTAGTTGACACCCAAAATGCTGAAGTACTGAGACAATTCCCACACAGATGAGATAGGACCAAATAGAAAAGCACATTCCAATGTGTAAGAGAGAAGAGTGATACTGATATAAACTCAAACGCTGTGGCTTCATCCTATGGACTAGTATTTTTTTTTTACTTATGACAAAGAGGGGCTTAGTCTGATCAAAAGTGATGGAAAAACACACAAAAATAGATTGATTGTGATAGATTCTTTAAAATCCCTTTAGCCTTTTCTCTTATTACATAGGTTTTTCCATTAGCGTCTTCTGTTTTTCAAGAATCATAGAATTTGCTTCTTGGTTAGTTACTAGCTACAGTAAGTGAGGGTTACCTAAATGTATTGCCCACTATAGAGAGTGTAGATTACTTGTATTATTCTCCTGGAAAATTTCCTTTCCCATTGTGTTGAAATGGCACCTTTCCATTTCAGAAGACTTCCAGAAAGCTTAGCTGTCAATTTTTCTCCTCTAGATCTCCTAATACACAGAGAAAGAAATTTAAAATATTAACACTATCAGAATCTTCTTACTGGAGCAACCTAAGAGAGAAGCAACTTAGAACAAAGGAGAAATTTCCTGATAGTTAGAACAATTAATCAGTGGAACAACTTGCCTCCAGAAGCTGTAAATGCTCCAACACCTGAGGTTTTTAAGAAGAGATTGGATAATCATTTGTCTGAAGTAATGCAGGGTTTCCTGCCTAAGCAGGGAGTTGGACTAGAAGACCTCCAAGGTCCCTTCCAACTCTGTTTTTCCATTCCATTCCATTCCATTGCAAGTGAGCAAATAAATTCGTAAATGAATATAAAGATTTTTCTATTCTAATTTGCTTTGCTTTCTCTTAAAGATATGGAAACCAAGAATCCTATCTCCCATTTCATACTTCTGAATGACATCCAGTTAGGTCCCACAAAGGCTTTATTTCCTTTTCACTTTTTTTTATTGTAACCTCTTTGATATAAAAGCACATCTGACTTTGGGAGGTAACAAGACGATAAATGAAAATATAAGCAAACAAAATGGCATCTTTCTGTTCCTTCTTCACTAAAGCACATTGTTTTTGTTCTTTTGAACAGTGGGTGGATTATTTTTAAAGAAACACTTAATAGTGTTTGCTGCACTGTAATTTGCCGAGAACTTCAATTACTGTACAGTATGTATGTATGTATGTATGTATGTATGTATGTATGTATGTATATGTATGTATTTATTTATTTAGGAAATTTATATGGCCACTTACTTGCTCTTAGTGACTCTAGGTGGATTACAACAGTATTGGACTGATTAGAAATATAATAAATGTATTAAAAAATAAATCATTAGCTACCACAAAATTTTCTCCCAAGCAGGTTTTGCCCATTAAAACCAAACTTGTATTCTGAGATTCAGAAGAATTTAGTGAGGTTTGGGGGGGGTGGGGGTGGAAGAGGGGATGGGGTGGAGGGTGGGGGGGAGAGATCTCTTGCTCCAGTTGACTCTTGAAAACACAAACCATAAATGATTTATAAAGCAGCTTTATAAATCGAAAGTGTTGTGACCTCCAGTTTCTCCTTTCTGTAGAGAGGTTCCTGTTGATACCTGAAAGTCAAGTTTCTTATATCAAACAGAACTGGACTTCTGGTGCATTCAAGTGCTGATAACCTAGGTCGAATAAGCAAACTCAGTTTCTCATTTATGAAAGGTAAAAAGAAAAAAGAAAAGAGGAAAGCCCTGCCCTCTTTTCCTAAATCTCCATTTTTTGGCAGAATGAGTAGGTCTGCAAAAGTACAAAGATTCTACCACAATTCAGGTAAAACCTTAATAAGAGACCAGGTCATGCAAAGTCCCATAGATTCTCTGGTAGAAAGTATATTTTGAAGTGGGAACCTAAAAACGTTTTGCATTTTATTCAGCACCCTCCTGGCATGTGGAAAAAGCTTGAACAGCAATGGTCCTTGGAGAGATATTAAAATCAGAGAATTGTTCCTGAAGGAAAACAATGTATTTAAAAATAAAACGCCCTAAAAAATCATTGTTTCTAAGGTGTGACATCCTGTAGCACATGGCTAATTATGTTCCATGGGGACAGGTTCTACAATTTTACCTTACATTTAAGAATGCATCATTACCTAACTAGAGATTATACAACAATCTGCTAAAGACATTTTACAGCAATCTGCAGGCATGGTGAGGTGAGAGTAACTACATAGCCATAAAGTAACACAAAAGTTGGTTTTGCACAGTGACCCTGGACTTAGAAGTGAGCCATGAATTATTAATGCCAAACAAGGTGTTAAAATCAAACAAAAATTGGGAAGATTGTCAATATTGAGCGAATAGGTTTGAAAATGGGAAACACAGTTCATAAAGGGAAATGCAACTGCAGTTCAGTGTAAAACGATGCATAAATATTTTTTTAAAAAGCCCAAACGCTATCTGTATATTAATGGGATTTCAATGGGCAAATGACTAACCAGGCATGGGACTTTATATACACAAAGATAATTAAGGGTGCAGGTTCAATAAAAAGCCTATTCCCTATTCGGAGTCATCAGAAAGAGCAATAGAACAATGTCTTTATATAACCCATTGCAAGACTGTACTTGGAATATTGTACACAGTTCTGCTCACACCTTAAAAAAGGATATTAGAGAGCTATAGAGAATGCAGAAAAGAGCTACTAACATGGTTCAAAGTCTGGAACAGCATCCTTTCAAGAAACGCTATAGCAGTCCAGCTCCTTACAAAGGGAAGATACTGTAGTAGAGGAAATAAACCTAACAAACAAAATGGACATTGCACCCTTTTTCTCTCTGTCTTTTAGATGGAATCAGGGTCAAACTAAGTTCCTTTCTTTGTTTGGCCCTAATCCTATCAAAACCAGATTGGCCCAAGGGCAGCCTTTACAAGGAAATTGCAACAGAGACAAACCCCAGTCTTCCATCCTCAATCAGTCTGATTACATCAACATTCCACCTCCTTTAAACAATGGACTTTCTCAGCTCAGGTTGCCCCCCCTGAAAGGCCCATTCTGCCTAAAAATGGAACTAATCCCAAGTAAACTGACAAGGACCTGCCTAACTTACCCAAACAGGCCAGCAAATGAGATCCCTAGATATTCTGCTTTGTAGTCTTCAACTTCTATTTTAAAAAAAACTTTGCTATTTTGCAGTGCAGTTCAGGGTCAATAGAAGGAAATTTCTTCACCTGGCTTAAGAAATCTGTGGAATTTGCTGCTAACAGGTGTGGTCATGGCAGCCAATTTGGGTGGTTTTCAAAAGGACTTGACAGGTTTATGGAGAATCAAGCTAACAATAACTTCTAGTTTTTACCACCCCCTGAATCATAGGCAGCAGCTCTTAAATATTGGCTGCTGAGATACACCAACAGAAGAGCTCTATTACTCCTCAGACCAGACTTATGAATTTCCTCTATGCGTCTAGATGCCCACTATGGGCAAGTGTCCCTATGCTGATCAATCCTATTCTCTTTAGTTTACTCAGGCTGGAATTAGCATATTCCTAAAACAGTGTTTCTCAACATTGGCAACTTTTAAGTTGTGTGGCCTTCAAATCTCAGAATTCCTCAGTCAGCATGGTGGCTGGGGAATTTGCAAATTGAAATCCACACATTTTAAAGTTATCCACCTTGAGAAACACTGGCCTAAGATAATTTCCAGACAACTGGTAGCTGTTGTAGCTCCAGCATACCTAAATACATTCCCCTTTCTCCTGATTGGAGAATCCCAGGGGTTGTAATAGTTCTGAAACTTCCTGGATGGACAGAGAGTAGCAGAAGTACATGTTGGCCAGGGAATTCTGGGAGATGAAGTCCATACAACTTAAAAGTTACCATCATTGAAAAACACTGGCTTAGGGTACACCAATTCCAGCCTGATTAAACAGAAGAGAGGACATATTACTGGGTCTTCAGAGAGGGGCAGCATATAAATTGAATGAATGAATGAATGAATGAATGAATAAATAAATACTGGGATGGCAACTCAGCCACATGGTTTACAACTGATTGAAATCAGCAGTCTCAAGTTCCCTTTAATTGGATTCTCTGCCTTCCTCCGCCCCGCCCCCCCCCCCCCCCCGCCCCAACTTAATTGAACAGGATCGCTTGGCCTGGGTCGGTTTTGGCACCATTTCTCTATTAAAGTCCACTAGGCCTATTTTATCTATAGCCAGTCAGCGCAACCCCTTGCCATACCTTTCCAAGCACGAGCATGTTGCGAGTCCTCCCAGCAGAACTCGGGAGTTTTGGGCCCCCAAAGGACTTTTCATACTGTGGGAAGTCTGAAAAGCTCTTGTTGGCCTCACTCGCCCTCACCGGGGCGGGGCCACTGCCTCCAAACCCCGAGGTGCCCGAAACTGATCAGGAGCGGCTCCTGTTTTTGCTTTACGGAAAGGGAGCACAGGAGACGTCTGCAGCGGTTTCGTCTCCCGCCTTCCCCTCCAGCCTTCCTCCGACAAGACAGACGTGCTCTGCTGTGGGGAGAGGTGGTCTCTGACCCTGGGGATTCAAGGACACTTCAGGAGTCTCCAAGGCTGAAATAAATCCATCCCGCTTTGGAAGGGGGGGGGAAATGCCTTCCTGCTTCGTTCATTCTTCCCACCGCGGCGGTGGGATGTTTTTTTGAGGGGGGACCGAACTGGCAAAGAAGCGGGGAGCCAACTTGGCGCGGGAAGACTTTGGTCCAACTTAGCCAACTCTCCTGGGTCAACCCTCCCTTTTCCCGCCTCACTCACTCAGACGAGGGAAACGGACGCGCCAGGTTACGCTTTTTTTTTTCCCCCTCTCAGCGCCTCTATTCCTCCTCGATGCCTTTTTCCATATTCGTGCCATCCCTTGTATTCTCTCCCTCCCTCGACGCCAGCCTGCCTTCTCTTAGTCGCTGCTGCCCTTCGGCCGCGTGGGGCTAGCACTTAACATCGCTCCCAGCCGGCGCGGCCACAGACGTGAGAGGGCACCCTACTGGGGGGATTATGCCACGCGGTATCCCAGCCACTTGCCTGAGGTCGTTGCGGTGGTCTCTGGTCCTGGTAGGACGGGGAATCCTGATCCGGCTCTCCCGCTATGGCCACCTGCTCTGGACGGCCGTGCCCCGCCACCCTTCGCTGCTTTCCCCGGCTGCAGAGTCGCCCTGTGCAAGCCGCCGCCTCTACGCCCGCCTCCAGTCGAGCGCCTCTTCCTCCCCAGGCGCTTGGCGATCCCGCCTCTCTCCCCATTGCTCAAGTGACTTTAGGGAGGGAGGCGACCTACTGTAGGGCGCTGCCGCCGAGGAGCAACTGGGAGGAAGCCGCCCGACAACCCACGCAAGTAACGAGGAAGAACCTGAGACGGGTTGCCAGCCGGGAACCACCCTAGGGAAGGGCCTCTCCAGCCCGGCCCAGTCTGGAAGTCTTTTCTTGGGCACTTGGTGGCAGAGGAGCAGCTGAAGGAGGGTAGTGGCGTCCTCCCCCTTGTGCACCAAGCCGGGCCAGTAAAACTGAACATGAGGTAGTAGCCGTCCATCTCTTTTACCATCTAAACAGAAGCAGCATCCCCACCCATGGGACCAGGCTGTTGTAGGAGCAGAGCCCTGTTTGCCTATGGTGGCCCCAGATCCTAAGGAGTCTGGTAGCACCATCTTTTCCGACTAATAAATTAAGGTAGTTGAATCCATCTAATAGTCAGTCGTAGCTGGTGAAAAGGTGTATAAATTTATATAGTCATCAGAAACAAGGCTGCCACTCTCCTCTGGATTTTTTTGGGGCACTAATGATGCACAGGTGTCAAAACATCGCATGCCGCTTCTTAAAACCTCAGTAGCATCCTAAGAAGGTGGGGTGAGTTAGCTGGAATCTCTGCAGTTGGTTCCTGTGCATTGTTCTCGGGACACCTTTGTGGTCGGTACAAAATCACCTGAAAGCTGTAAACCCAAGCGCACACTGTGTTAGGCTTTTCCAAATGTAGTAACACAGTGAAGTAAATATGCAGAATTCCTCTGCTCACACAAGCATGTAAAGGTGTTACTGGGTCACTAGTTCTGGGTTATGTAAAGTGCAAGTTTACAATTGCCACAAAAAGTGTTATGTCTGGAATTATTTTAAACTTGCCTCTCTTGACATTTGGCCTGTGGGAAATGATTGGACATATTGTATAGAGGTGATCCATGACTTGGTGCTTAGATACCAGACAATAAACTTCCCCTGGATTCTTCTCTGACTATTGGAACTAGATTTATAATTTTCTAGCAGTGTCGTATGGGCTGAATCCAATAAAACAGGAGGTTGAGGTTCAAAGAATCTTATGCAGCTCTCAAAACTCCCTTTCAGCTGGGAAACACAGGAAAGCAGTAGCTTTAACTTATCATCGCTAAAAAGAAAAAGAAACTAGCTCATACTTAGTCATGTTTGCATTTCTAATTGGCTCCTTTTTGCACCCTCAACCTCCTCCCATTCTTAAATGCAGCCTTGGTCTCCTGCGTTGGCAGTAGAAAATTAAATAGGTGCATACTTAGCTTTACCAGCTACAATCACTAACTTATGTAACCTGCAATAATGATTTTTTTTTAAAAAAAACAGAGAACTTACTGGACTTTTTCTAACATGTTTCATTTCATGTAGTGCTTAATGTGAAATATTAACATGAGTGCTTTTGAGAAATAAACCTGTTTAAATTGGAAGTTAAGCCCATTGACTCAAAGGTTTTCCCTTTCGAATATGTATGATTGGACTCACATTACTCAGAGCTGATAAAGCCCAGTTAGCTGAAATATTCATGGCAGGGAAATCCCCATATAGTCCCTGTCATCCAGGATAGTCCCCAAACTTAAGCACCATAGGGATGATGGATAAAATATCTATAGTAATGTTTGCATTGTGCATGTGTCTCCTTATGGCGTGATGGGCAGAAAAAAGTTAATAAATAATATGTGTTTATATATGTCCTACCTTCATTAAGCTTTCACAAATTTTAATATGGATCTGTCACAGGAATAAAGATCAACTGTGCCGAATGAGGCACTTCTGGCAGTTTCCATATTAAGTCTGTTATAAATGCAACAAGCTGGTAGATGAATAAATATAGGATCTTTCCTTCGTGCACAGATACATTTTACATCAAAATAAAATATAAAAATAATAGCTAAAAACAATAAATTAAAAGAAAACAAAAAACAAATAAACACAAAGGGCAAACTCAATGGACCATTAGGTCTTTTTCTGCTGTCAGTTTTCTATGTTTCTATAAGAAAAAAAAAATCCCAAATGCAAAGTTGTTACCGCTTTTATAACTTGCCAACCAGAATGTTACGGAAGCACGCATGCTTTCAGATTAGGTGATATGCATAATGAGTGTGACACAGAGACTTTTTTTTAATTAGGAGATTATGCTACAGAGAACACCTTTACCATGCAGATGTGGACATTATCCAGCAAAAGTGCTGCTGTGCATTCTGGTGCCAGGCTAAGACAAGCTTTGCTTATCTCAGTGATTTGGGTGTAACCAAAGGAGGCTCTCAGCTCCTTCTCCCGGGCGATTCGCAGGTTGCTGGCATGCAACTAAGACTTGGGAGCAGGAGATCAAGGGCCATTTCTGTTGGAGTGTGGTACATTTTTCAGTACATAGAACAGACAGCCATCACTGGTGCCACATCTGTAAGCTTGTCAAGATTGTTCGCCTTTTAAAACCAACCTCCTGAAATGCTTCTAGAGTTTTGATTTCCAGCTGGAGGTCTTACAGACATTTCTGTTTCAAGACAAATCCCATTTCCCCCCATGGCCAGCTGTGTTCTAGGCTCCCAGTCTTTCAGTGTCACTGTACAAAGGCACTAAACAGCATTCATCAGAACTGAGACTACTTTTTGAGGCTGCTTGTGGCTCTGGCTACCCAGATACCATTTAGTGCTGCTGAAACGCAGGTGCCTCTGGGATGAGGTATTGCGCAACCTCCTTGCAGACTTGGGGCAAAGGCAAGTTAAAATGATCCCTTCTACAGCCATTATACAAAATGTTTGTTGCATGCTTGCATAGGCGAATCCTGGGCTAAACTCTGCACTGGGTGACTGAAGGCAAGTGACCTATAAAAAGCCCTTATTATGTTCTCAGGAAAACTGATCGTTAGTTCTCTGAATGGACTCAAAGCCTTTCATTGACTTGGTGAAATTCAACCGACCCAGACTTACTTCTCTAAACAAACATGCTCAGGTTGTCCATGGTGTTTTTTGCAGTTTTCCGGTCGAAACAGACCATTTCTTCTTGTCAGCAATATGTGTGTGGGCCTGGGACCAGGGCTTGGTGATGTTGCCAATTTTCTCCCCCCCCCCAGGATTGAAACAGTACAGCTGTGTGTTAGGGCCCATGACCCAGAATCTGGAAGCAACCAAGGAATGAAAATAAGCTGACCTGATATCCAAACTCTAGATGGTTGATAAATGTGAAAAGTTACTACCGATTCTTTGTTTCTTTTATAACCATTGTGTGGCTTAAGTATTACTTTACCTGGCGTTTCATGCTGACCATTTTCCCAAGGGAAACAATCCAGCATTTGGCAAATTGACTGATATAAATTTATACTGTGGAGCTGAAATACACAACCTGATACTCCTATGTTTATTCAAATTCAAGTGCCGATTCTGTCCCTGCACATTTACTCAGAAGTAGGTCTCATTAGTTTAAGTGGAGTTTACTCCTGTGTAAATGTTCATAGTATTGCAGCCTGAGCTCAATGTTTGTTTATCATCCACTCAATCAACAGCAAATGAAGGAAACCAGATTAGAGGTTTAAGAATGCAGTTCTGTGCAAGCATAAGTTGCCCCTGTATTTCGATTTGGTTGATGAGAAACACCCCCCCCGCCCCAATATTGACAAACTGGTTGCATGTAAGCTTTTCTTCTCCAAGGTGCATCTCAAACATTCTTCCTGGTTCATAGTAGCAACTTACTCAAAAATACATATAATCGGTGTGTTCAGTGATGTTTCTTCGTTTAGAAAATAGGTTTTGATTTGGAGCCTTTGCCTTAATTTCAAGTGAAACTGGCATTCCTTCAACAGAAAATGTAACAGGTAGAAAACAGTGGTGTTCCTCAGACCAGCCCTCCTAAGAGGCCTGGGGCAGAATGTTAATCTGAGACCCGCCCAAGTTTCTTCAGACTGTCAACATACTTCTGTTGCCATTTTTTAAAAATCAATTGAAGTTAGTGCAAACAGAAGTACTAAAGATTGCAAATGCAAAGATTGCAAATGCAGAATATTGAAATAACTCCTGAAGCTGTTTTAGCTGCCCTGAATGAAAAGTATTGATCCATCTAGTCACATTGCATAATGAGCAATGGTGGCATCTCCACATAAAGTTTCTAGGGCAATTGTCCCCACTGCTGCCCCATCCTATTCCAGGGTAAAATCCAAGTACAGCTGAAAACATCCTCTCTATACAGGGCAGGGTTTAAAGGGCAGCCTTGGAGGCCCCCTTCTGACCAGGATTAAGATTCAAAGCAGAGCTGTCGCCAAGGTGCTTTTTCAAAAGGCAACTGGACTTCCTTTGTTTTTGCTTGAAGACGTTTCGCTTCTCATCCAAGAAGCTTCTTCAGTTCTGTGTATGACTGAGAATCTCCACAGACATTTAAAGCAGAGAAAAGTAATTTCAGCTTGCAAGTTATATCTGGACCATCAGGTTTTATATCTGCTCCTCTTCCTCCTCTTCTTCTACGGAGGTCCATTTCCTCCACCATTCTGAAAGGAAAGATGAAAGAGAAGGAAACCCCTAAAGGAGTGCTTTTGGGAGGATCTTGAAGCAGCAGCAGCATTTGCCTGCTTCCCACTTTCCCTAAGAGGTGGATGCAGCCTGCTCCTGGGAGACTCAATCAAGGATATCCTGGAATCATTACTTTCTCGTGTGTTATTAGGGAGGGTGTTGAACGTACTCCAAGAGCTGGAGAGCAATTTCCTAAAGAAGGGTTGACGTCAGAAGGTGGGCTCTCAGGGAGAGTCTTCATGGAAAGTGTTTCCCATCTCCTGGCACTACCCATTCCCTCCAGCCAGGTGCATTTCCCCACCTCTGTTTTCAATTGTCATGTTTCATCCTTCTGATGTTTATTCCTCCTTTTTTGATTGCCCTCCTCCCCTCTTGCCATGGCCTAAAGCCAAGGCGTT